CTCCGTGGGGTAAAGTCCAAATGTGTCGCCTACCGCAGGGGGCAAAGAATAGCGGAAGGTTTTTTCAGGTGATAATGTCAAAGGTGTTGGCTAGGTTTATAGGCATAAGTGCCTACGTCTTTCAGGACGACATAGTCCTATTCTCGAAGTCACCTGATGACCACATAAAATTACTAAGCAAAGTCATAGAAACGTTAGATAAGGCTAATTTAAAACTTCACCCAGAGAAAAGTTCATTTATCGTTAAAGAGGTCAAGTACCTGGGTCATGTAATAAGCCAGGAGGGGATCCTCCCTGATAGAGGCAATGTTCAGGCGATTCTTGAATTGAGTCCTCCTTGTAACGTGAGAGAAGTGAGGAGATTTCTGGGAATGATAGGGTTCTTTAGGAACTTTATACCTAGGTTTTCGGACGTAGCCCTTCCCCTAACGAAACTAACCAAAAAGAAGGTGAAATTTTCTTGGAATGAGGAGTGCCAAGATAGCTTCGAAAGGTTTAAGAGTATGTTATCAAAGCCTCCTTTATTGAAACATCCAGATTTTGGGTCCCCTTTTCATTTATACTCGGATGCGTCAGACGAGTGCTCAGGCGCAGTGTTAATGCAGGAAGAGAATGGGCACTTATACCCCGTGGGGTATTTCAGTCGTAAATTTGTTAATGCGGAAAGGAATTACTCCACTATTGAGAAGGAGTGTCTGTCAATAGTTCTATCTCTGCGCCACTTCAAACCAATAATATTAGGCTATAAGGTCGAGCTACATACAGACCATAAGCCCCTTATATTTATTAGCAATATGAAAAACCATAATAAGAAATTGATAAGATGGTCTACCGAGATTGTGGATTATGATGTAACTATCAATTACATAAAGGGCAAGCGTAATGGGTTGGCTGATGCGTTATCGCGCCCAAATGGTAACACTGAGAGAAAAGATAAAGAGGTTAATAGTAGCACGATGGAAAATAGAAAATTATGAGTAAAAGTGGTAGAGTCCCAGAAAAGGGATAGTGAAATAAAGAGAATATATGAGAGTTTAAGAAGGGCAGACCGTCAAGGGGTAACTACCGGGATTCAGCCCGAGTACAGGTTAGATGGTAATATTGTGGTAAACGTGAAGCCCGGACGAATGGGGCTGAGGGAGTGGACGCGTGTTTGTGTGGGGGGGAGACATGATCAACCAAGTAATATGGTCGTTCCACAATTCGTCGATGTTAGGTCACTTGGGACATGAGAAAACATGTAACGCAATTGACAGAAACTATCATATTAAGAATCTCAAGAAGCATGTGAAAGAGGTGATTAGGGGTTGTAGAACTTGCCAGCGGTTTAACATGCATAGGGGCCGTGCGCCTTTCCAGGAGTCAGAGTTGGCTGACTTTCCGCTACAGAAGGTGGCAGTTGATATTATAGATCCCTTAAAACTGTCGAGAAAGGGAAATAGGTATATACTTACGGTAATAGACATTTATACTCGCTATCCTGAGGCCATCCCAATCCCGAACCAGTCGGCCCAGGAGATAGCAGACAGTTTCTTCAATAATATAATATGTAGGTATGGTTGTCCCGATGTTATGGTGTCCAATAGGGGCGCTAATTTTACCTCTAGCATATTCCGTGAAATGTGTGAAGAACTAACTATTAGACACAATGTTACTACAGCTTACAGACCTTGCGCTAATGGGGTCTGTGAGCGATTTAATAAGACTATATGTGGAATCATAGTAAGAATATCGGAACGTAATAACCAGGTTTGGGACGAATTCATGAACCTGGTATTGTTCGCATATAACAACACGTCACATACTGCGACCCATGAATCCCCTGCGTTCCTGTTATATGGTTTTGAGCCCCATTTTCCGAATGCGTTCCCAGAGGACGATATACGAAAAATAAAGGACACGAACCGTAATCAAGAATTCGTGAATAAACTAAATGTAATAAGACGGACTGCATACGAGTTGGGAAGGAAGCGAAATTCAAGGAATAGGGGTAAGAGAATAAGGATAAGAAAAAGAGCGTATGGAAGGAGGCCAGAGGGTTTGGCTGCTCAGAAAGGGGAGAACAAAAGGCATGGGAAAATTCTCCCCTAAATATTTAGGACCATACCGGATATCGCGGGTTCTTGGGCCTGTGACGGTAGAACTCGGAGGTAATAAGCAAGATGAAAAGTGGGTGGTACACACTGATCGTATAAAACCGTGCTACTCCCCTGTTTGTAAAGAGTGGTGGACGGCATCCCATAGACATCAGAGAAGAAAGGAGACTCCACCCGCAGATAACGATGTGGAGGAGGATGAACTTAATGAATACCTATGGTTAGTCAGGCCGAGAGAACAATCAGTATCAAGCGTTACCGAGGAACAACAGGAGGGAGGCAAAGATGATCATCCCGAGCATCACCGTGAAGAGGAAAACGTTGGGCGTCATCACCCGTACAACACACATGGTCATAAGATCAACTACCGTAGACTACACTACATAGTGTAATTCTAAAGGGGGGGGCGTATGTAGCCGGTGGCCATATCAGCATACGTTTATTTTATTATTATTAGTATATACATATTTTTAGTTTTAATATTCTTTCCCTATTTCTTCGATTTCTTTGTGTGTTCATTCTAAAACATTCCATGACCGTTATAGCCTTTAGGGGGGATTAGCGATTCTGTGAATCGCAAAGNTTATTATTATTAGTATATACATATTTTTAGTTTTAATATTCTTTCCCTATTTCTTCGATTTCTTTGTGTGTTCATTCTAAAACATTCCATGACCGTTATAGCCTTTAGGGGGGATTAGCGATTCTGTGAATCGCTAAGAACAATAGTGCAGGAAATTACCCCCCCTCTGAGAGAGGAGAACGAAGAAGGGTGTGTAGAGGGGACGAGAGAGGTAAGAAAAGACAAAATCGAGGGAGACACGTGGAGAATAACACGTATCGAGGTGAACTCCGGACTTGACTGAGTGCCGAAAAAAGAGAGACTTCTCGGGAGGGTCAAGCAACGGACTGGAGAGAATCAGGGTCCCCACGGCTGAAGGCCCAACGACAGGAATAAGACATTTTACTTCACTAAGGAAGTAGATCCGAGGACACAGTAAGAGTTGGGAAGAGAGTGCCAATAGAAAAGGATCCGTTGTTGTTTATTTGTTAGAGTTTATTGGCGCAAGGGCCATACAGGCCAAGCTGCACCATGGCAAATGGTANAGACCTCTAGCTGTGAAATGTTGCCTGTGTTCAGATCAATCATGCTGCTCACATTCTCCATTCTTATGGTGAATATAGGGACACTGCTTGGACAAGCTTCAAATAACCTTTTCAGCTGAGTTTCTAATACTGTACAATCAACTGAAGGTTTAGTGTGAGATTTCTGTTTTATATAGTAAAATAGAGACAACTGTTCTCTCCTGAGAGATAGTGGAGGCTTATAAGCATCCACATACAAACTTTGTACAGGAGAAGTTCGAAAAGCACCAGTGCACAAACGTAGTGCTTGATGGTGAATTGGATCCAGCATCTGAAGAGTAGATTCTCGCGCAGAGCCATAAACAGTGCAACCGTAATCCAGCTTAGAGCGGACAAGTGCCCTATAAATCCTGAGCATAGAAACTTTGTCTGCTCCCAGGATGAGCAGCATAGTACCTTTAAAAGGTTTAGAGATTTTAAACATCTACTCTTCAAATTGCACAAGTGTGGCAAAAATGTCAGTTTTGGGTCTCAATAAACACCCAAAAACTTAGCCTCATTCACCATTGGAATTTTATCACCATTTAGGTGAATTTCAGGATCCAGGTGCAAACCACGGCTTCAGCAGAAGTAAATGCACGATGTCTTCGCTGCATTAAACCTAAACCCATTGGTCTTGGACCAATCATATATGCGATTTAGGGAAGTTTGAAGTTGTCTCTCAATGAAACTCATATTACTAGACTGGCAGGAGATCTGAAAGTCATCTACATACAAAGAGTGTTTCACACTGGGAGGAAGACAGTTAGCTATGCTGTTAATTTTAATTAGGAACAGAGTCACACTCAAAATAGAACCTTGAGGAACACCTTCTTCTTGTGTGAAGAGCCTAGATAAAGCGTTGCCCATCCTAACTTGGAATCTTCGATTCTGTAAAAAGTTTTTTATAAAAATTGGCAAATTACCCCGCAATCCGAATTGGTGTAGATCACGAAGTATCCCGTATCGCCAACAGCGATCATAGGCCTTCTCTATGTCAAAAAACACAGACACTAAGTGCTGTCTTCGAACAAACGCTTCGCGTATAGATGTTTCAAGGTTTACCAGGTTATCAGTGGTACTTCTGTTCCTACGAAAACCACTCTGATGTGGTGAAAAGTATTCCTTTTTCTCTAAGAGATACATTAGACGCCTGTTTACCATTCTCTCGAAAAGTTTACAGAGACAACTTGTCAGAGAAATTGGTCTGTAATTAGAGGGATTCTTGTGATCTTTACCAGGTTTGGGAATGGGAATAATGATAGATAGCCTCCAAGAGTCAGGAAAAGTATGTTCTGTCCATATTCTGTTAAACAGATGCAAGAGATTAGAAAGGGAATTGTTTGACAGATTTTTAATCATGCTGTAGTGGATTTTATCCGGGCCTACAGCACTATTCCCCGAGCGAGAGATTGCTGTATGTAATTCAATTCTAGTGAATGGCACATTATATTCCTCATTAGATAAGGAGTAAAAGTTTAAACACTGTTTTTCTCTTTGGGCTTTATAAGCTTGAAAATTCCTTGAATACGTGATATTGCTGGATGAAGCAGAAAATGTTTCACCCAATAAATCAGCAATACCCTGTATATCGCTGATTATTGTGCCATTATTTTCCAGCATGGACAGAGAGTGAGAAGCATATTTCCCATTAATTTTATGGATTTTATCCCAGACTGCTTTTGAGCTAGTGGAAGATGTTATGCTTGAAACATACTTCCTCCAAGAATCCCTTTGGCTTTGCCTCCTTATTCTTCTGGCATTTGCCTTTGCTTTTTGAAAAGCAACCAAATTTTCAGCAGTGGGGTATCTTCTAAAAATCCCCCATGCTTTCTTTTGTGCTTTAAATGCTGCCTCACAATTCTGGTTCCACCATGGTTTCGGATGTTTTGGATATCTAGTTGATGTCTTCCCCATTGTTTTTTCTGCTGCCTGAATGATACTCGAAGTGACAACCTCAACTGCATCATTGATATCAGCAGTATTGACCATTTCCTCAGTGATGTTAGCCAAAGTGGAAAATGAAGGCCAATCTGCCGTTTCAAGTTTCCAGCGTGGTGGACGGGCTGTTTCACAGCTTTCTCTGCCTCGATATTTTAGAAATATTGGGAAGTGGTCACTAGAGAGTGGATTAGATCCAACCTCCCATGTAAATGCTGAAAACAGATTCGGAGTTGCTAATGATAGATCAATGGCAGTGAACGTTCTTGATGGGGCATGGAAGTATGTCACTTCTCCAGTATTAAATAGATACAGTTGGTGATTACCTATAAATCTCTCGATGGCTCTGCCTCGACGATTGATGTCAGGACTGCCCCACATAGGATTGTGACCATTGAAGTCACCCAGTAAAAGAAATGGTGTTGGTAGCTGTTCAACCAAAGTATCCAATTCATTCTCATTCACTCTGACATCTGGTGGCAAGTATATAGAACAAACTGTGACAGTTACTCCAATAGATATTCTAGCTGCCACGGCTTGCAAATTAGTGGTGATTTGTACCGGCAAGGATGGGATGTGATTTGAAACTACAATAGCCACACCTCCACTGGCACGGTTGTGGCTATCATCATCCTTGCGGTAAAGATTGAATCCTTTTAAAGAAATATTTTCTCCAGGTTTTAGATGAGTCTCCTGGAGTGCCACACAGAGAGATGAGGTAGATGACGTCAAGTGTTTAATGTCAGAGAAGTTGTTGCGGAAACCACGACAGTTCCATTGGATTATTTTATAATCCATTATGTGTTTGAGGCAGCATTCTTTGCGAGGGTGTCCCTCTTTAATTTAACAGGCGGTTTCTCTTTTGGAGGTGACTTTGGTTTTGAAACCTCCATATAAGGCTCTTCATCAGATATGTCAGAAAACTCGCTCATAGATTGAGCTTCTGATTTTTTTGAGACTTTAGAGAGGGCTGCTTTTAATTTTTGTTTGGTAAGTGGGTTCTTATTTGCTTTCTTAGAACCCACGTTTCTGGTTACTACCCCTGTTTTAGGTATGGGTGTCTTTGTCTTGATGCTCTCCTTTTCTTCAGTTTGTTTTGATTGGATTAGCAAACATTTTGCGTGGCGAGTGAGAGATTCTGTTGGGGAGACAGAAATATCTGTTTGTACCCCACATGTTTTAGTAGATTTCAATGCAGCAGCAAAGGTCTTTTGTTTTGTTGATGCACTTGGGATGGCTATGCGACGGGCCTCTGTGTATGATATGTTATTTACAGTTTTAATCCGTTGGACCTCTTTTTCTCTCTGCCACGCAGGACATTTTCGGGAGTAGGAAGAATGGGCATCTTTACAGTTCACACAGCATGGGGTTCTTTTACATTCAGTTCTGTTGTGGTCTTCCATCCCACACTGTGCACATACGCTTTTGCCTCGACAGGATGTTTGTGAATGTCCAAACCGCTGGCATTTGAAGCAACGCAGCGGATTTGGAATGTAAGGACGAACAGGGCAGCGCAGATATCCTGCAATAATGAAGGATGGCAATGTTGGCTTGTCAAATGTCACAATTAAATGTTTTGTTGGTATTAACTTGCCATCTCGACGAATGGAGATGCGTCGAACAGCAGTGACACGTTGATCTGAAAGACTGATCTGAATATCTGCTTCATCTTCAGACATTAGGTCAGTCTCAGATATCACACCACGTGATGAGTTTAAACTTTTGTGTGATGCGATTGAAACTCCCATATCTCCGAGTGTTTTCATTGACAGAAGCTTTGTTGTTTGTTGAGGAGAAGCTGTTTCCACCAGAAGGTCACCTGACCTCAATTTCTGTATTTTCCTTAAATGCCCGATGGTTGATTCAAATAATGTTTGGATCAAAAATGGAGAACACTTAGATAAAGGTTTTTCTCCAGTTGCGTGGACTACTAAGTACGCTGGCTGACTGGAGGTCTTTTCATTTGTTGTTGTTGTTGGCTTGTCTAAATTTTTTTGTTTTGTGAGAATCCATATTTAAAAATAGATATTCAGCTCCTAGTGACCCCACCCACCATGGGGCCCAACAAGGGGATGCCGTCACATGGGAGAGTTCCATAGACTGTCACACCAAGGTTTCCCAGGAGCTATACCCTCACAATGCAGTCAAGAAGAGCACATCTTGTCTGATGTGTCCGCCCGGTCTGCATCGATCAGTTGACTCCAAGCTGAGGTCAAGAATGACTCAACGACCAGCCGATTGACTCAAACGGAGCCTGATTTGAGCCTCCCGTTTATCCGAAGCAGGGGCCAAANTGCAGTAAACAGCTGTAACTTTATCATATTTGTATAAAATTGTTTTCAAAAGGAATCATTTTTGAACCAATAAATACATTATAATTATTTATGAATTAAAAAAAAAATTATACACAAGAATCGTTCGATTTTCTTGATTATATTTGAGTATTGCACTTTAGTATTTTACAGGTAGTACACTCACATGGTGTACTACCTCTACACCGAAGATCATCAAAATCCGTTACCCCAAAGCTGTAGGCTCTCTTTGTTAGTTTCTGTCTGAAATAATTACAAGCATGAAGAACTTAAAGAACTAATATATAATTAAANTGCACTTTAGTATTTTACAGGTAGTACACTCACATGGTGTACTACCTCTACACCGAAGATCATCAAAATCCGTTACCCCAAAGCTGTAGGCTCTCTTTGTTAGTTTCTGTCTGAAATAATTACAAGCATGAAGAACTTAAAGAACTAATATATAATTAAAATGAATGTATAAGCACTGTCTACAATAAGGGAGTCTGAGTTTGGAAGCCAAAGAGGTAAGATGTGTGTTTCAGTGCTCCAGACAGTGTTTCTAGCTAAGTAGATGTTAAGCCTAACATTAGACCTAGCTAGTTGTCTTTAGTGTTTAAGGATAGAGATTTAGGGCTATTTTAGTGTTAGTGGTCTGGTTAGGCTTAGGATAGCTAAGCCTAACATTTTTGTCAATTTTATTTGACAAACTTTTGGTTTTTAAAACCAGCCATCCTGACTTCTCCAGTGAAGAAGACAGAAGACAGCTACAGTGGCCATCTTGTCCTCGTCTGGTGTTTGTGTCATCATTCATTCGTTAGAGTTTATTGGTGCAAGGGCCACACAGGCCAAGCTGCACCATGCCAAATGGTATAATTATATAAATAAATATATAATGCAAGATATTTAATATAAATAAATAACAAAATCAATAAGAAAACAATATATAACAATACACATGTAAATAATAACAAGATATATACATAAATGAATGAATAAATAAATAAATAATCAACAAGGTATATATAAACATAACCTAGATGAATAATTAAATATGTTTATAACTATTATTCACTTTCAAAAAGTTCAATAATTTGTCAAGATTTGGCCTCTGGCCCAAAATCTCTCTCAAACTTGCATTTCCAAAATGCTGTCTATGACTTTGATCAAAAGCAGTGCAGTTGCAAAGCATGTGTTTTACACTTAGAAAGCAGTTGCAATACTCACATACTAGCTGGTCTTCACCCTTCAAAAGGTATTGATGAGTCAACTGAGTATGCCCAATTCTCAAATGAGTAAGAATTACTTCAGATCTCCTGTCATACTGCTTATTACATGTCCAATTTTCTATATTTGGCTTGATCTCATGTAGTTTATTGTGGATTTGTGCATTCCACACGTTTTGCCATCTCTCTGCTAGTCGTTTTTTAACTACAAGCTTCAAATCGCCTCCTTCAATATGCATTGTATGCTGTAAAGGACTACCTGACTTTGCAGCTGCGTCAGCTTCTTCATTTCCTTTTATACCTATATGGTCTGGGCCCAACAAAATTTTACAAAGAAATTTCTCGCAGTAAGATGGCAAAACAGTTTACGGATTTTAATCACTATAGAGTAAGAACTAGGTTCACATGAGATCAAAGCCTGAAGTGCACTAACTGAGTCAGTGTAAATAACACAGCAACGATGACCTTTCCTATTTATATACTTTAAAGCTACATAAATAGCATGCAACTCTGCAGAAAAGATGGAAGAATTCAATGCAATTTGTACTGCCATGATTTCATCCTGGCAGACGAAGGCTGAGCCAACGTAATCATCAGATTTAGATCCATCTGTATAAATAGGAATTAAATTCCTGTCAGTGTTGAATTTCTGCAAAGTGCTGTCTGTAGACGTAGTCTGGGGTGGATTCCTTTGGAAATTGCTTTAAGCTAAGGTCAACATTTATCACAGGAGTTGACCAAGGAGATATACTACAGACCTCTAGCTGTGAAATGTTGCCTGTGTTCAGATCAATCATGCTGCTCACATTCTCCATTCTTATGGTGAATATAGGGACACTGCTTGGACAAGCTTCAAATAACCTTTTCAGCTGAGTTTCTAATACTGTACAATCAACTGAAGGTTTAGTGTGAGATTTCTGTTTTATATAGTAAAATAGAGACAACTGTTCTCTCCTGAGAGATAGTGGAGGCTTATAAGCATCCACATACAAACTTTGTACAGGAGAAGTTCGAAAAGCACCAGTGCACAAACGTAGTGCTTGATGCTGGATTGGACCAGCATCTGAAGAGTAGATTCTCGCGCAGAGCCATAAACAGTGCAACCGTAATCCAGCTTAGAGCGGACAAGTGCCCTATAAATCCTGAGCATAGAAACTTTGTCTGCTCCCAGGATGAGCAGCATAGTACCTTTAAAAGGTTTAGAGATTTTAAACATCTACTCTTCAAATTGCACAAGTGTGGCAAAAATGTCAGTTTTGGGTCTCAATAAACACCCAAAAACTTAGCCTCATTCACCATTGGAATTTTATCACCATTTAGGTGAATTTCAGGATCCAGGTGCAAACCACGGCTTCAGCAGAAGTAAATGCACGATGTCTTCGCTGCATTAAACCTAAACCCATTGGTCTTGGACCAATCATATATGCGATTTAGGGAAGTTTGAAGTTGTCTCTCAATGAAACTCATATTACTACACTGGCAGGAGATCTGAAAGTCATCTACATACAAAGAGTGTTTCACACTGGGAGAGAGACAATTAGCTATGCTATTAATTTTAATTAGGAACAGAGTCACACTCAAAATAGAACCTTGAGGAACACCTTCTTGTGTGAAGAGCCTAGATAAAGTGTTGCCCATCCTAACTTTGAATCTTCGATTCTGTAAAAAGTTTTTTATATAAATTGGCAAATTACCCCGCAATCCGAATTGGTGTAGATTTGGTGTAGATCATGGAGTATTGGTGTAGATCATGGAGTATTCCGTATCGCCAACAGTGATCATTGGCCTTCTCTATGTCAAAAAACACAGACACTAATTGCTGTCGTCGAACAAACGCTTCGCGTATAGATGTTTCAAGGTTTACCAGGTTATCAGTGGTACTTCTGTTCCTGCGAAAACCACTCTGATGTGGTGAAAATTACTCCATTTTCTCTAAGAGATACATTAGACGTCTGTTTACCATTCTCTCGAAAAGTTTACACAAACAACTCGTCAGAGAGATTGGTCTGTAATTTGAGGGATTCTTGTGATCTTTACCAGGCTTGGGAATGGGAATAATGATAGATAGCCTCCAAGAGTCGGGAAAAGTATGTTCTGTCTATATTCTGTTAAACAATTCCCTTTGTAATGTTCTGAATCTGTTTGACAGATTTTTAATCATGATGTAATGGATTTTATCTGGGCCTACAGCACTATTCCCCGAGCGAGAGATCGCTGTATGTAGTTCTATCCTCATGAATGGCACATTGTATTCCTCATTAGGTAATGTCTGAAGGTTTATATATTGTTTTTCACTTCGGGCTTTATAAGCTTGAAAATTCCTACTAAACATTACATTGCTGGATGAAAAAGAGAACGTTTCACTCAACAAATCAACAATACCTTGTATATCGCTGATTATTGTGCCATTATTTTCCAGCATAGACAGAGAGTGGGAAGCATATTTTCCATTAATTTTATGAATTTTATCTCAGACTGCTTTTGAGCTAGTGGAAGATGTTATACTAGAGACATACTTCCTCCAAGTATCCCTTTGGCTTTGCCTTCTTATTCTTCTGGCATTTGCCTTTGCTTGTTGAAAAGCAATAAAATTTTCAGCAGTGGAGTACCTTCTGAAAATCCCCCAAGCTTTCTTTTGTGCTTTAAACGCTGCCTCGCAATTCTGGTTCCACCATGGTTTAGAATGTTTTGGATATCTAGTTGATGTTTTCCCCATTGTTTTTTCGGCTGCCTGAATGATACTGGAAGTGACAACCTCAACTGCATCATTGATGTCTGCAGTATTGACCATTTCCTCCGTGATGTTAGCCAAAGAGGAAAATGCAAACCAATCTGCTGTTTCAAGTTTCCAGCGTGGTGGACGGGATGTTTCACAGCTTTCTCTGCCTTGGTATTTTAGAAATATTGGGAAGTGGTCACTAGAGAGTGGATTAGATCCAACCTCCCATGAAATGCTGAAAACAGGTTTGGACTCGCTAATGAAAGATCAATTGCAGTGAATGTTCTTGTTGGGGCATGGAAGTATGTCACTTCTCCCGTATTAAATAAACAGATTTGCTGATTTCCTATAAATCTTTCAATGGCCCTGCCTCGACGATTAATGTCAGGACTGCCCCACATAGGATTGTGGCCATTGAAGTCACCTAGTAGAAGAAATGAAGTTGGCAGCTGTTCGACTAATGCATCCAATTCATCCTCATTGACTCTGACATCTGGTGGCAAGTATATAGAGCAAACTGTGACAGTTACTCGAATAGAAATTCTGGCTGCCACAGCTTTCAAATCAGTGGTTATTTGTACCGGCAGGGATGGAATGTGATTGGAAACCAGAATAGTCAAACTTCCACTGGTACGGTTGTGGCTATCATCATCCTTGCGGTAGAGATTGAAACCTTTTAAAGAGATTTTTTCTCCAAGTTTTAGATGTGTTTCCTGGAGTGCCACACAGAGAGATGAGGTAGATGATGTCAAGTGTTTAACGTCAGAGAAGTTGCAGAAACCGCGACAGTTCCATTGGATTAATTTATAATCCATTATGTACAGTGGTACCTCAGGATACGAAATTAATCCGTTCCGAAACTGAGATCGTATCATGAAAATGTCGTAAGGTGGATCATCTTTTCCCATACGATTACATGTAAAACCAAATAATTCGTTCCAACGCGAAAAACATACTAAAATTAAAGCCAAGTAATACATTAAAAAAATAATTGTAGTAAGGAAAACAAATGAAAAATGCGAACTAATGTAACGTCGTATGGTGAGTTTTTGTTCGTATCGTGGAGCAAAAATATGTTCGAATTTCATGTCGTATCCTGAAAATTTCGTATGCTGGGGCGTTCGTAACCTGAGGTACCACTGTATTTGAGGCAGCATTTTTAGCAAGGTTATCCCTCTTTAATTTTACAGGGTGTTTTTCTTTTGGAGGTGATGTTGGTGGTGTCACCCCCTTATTATTCTCTTCATCAGAGAAGTCGGAGAACTGGCTCATAGACTGAGTCTCCGATTTTTTTGATTTAGATAGGGCTGCTTTTATCCTTTGTTTATTAAGTGGGTTCTTACTGGATTTTTTGGAACCCACATTCCTAGTTGTTACCCCTGTTTTAGGTATAAGTGGTTTTGATTTGTTATTCTCTTTTTCTGTTGCTTTGGTAGATGGTATCAGCAGACATTTTTCATGGCAAGTCAGAGATTCATTTGGTGAAACAGAAATGTCTGTCTGAATTCCACATGTCTTTGTGGATTTCAGAACAGCAGCAAATGTCAGAACAGCAGCTGTTTCACTGGTGCACTTAAAGTGACTATGCGACGTGCCTCCGGGTAAGATATATTATTAACAGTCTTCAATCGCTGAATTTCTTTCTCTCTCTGCCATGCAGTGCATTTTCGAGAATAGGCAGGTTGGGAATCTTTGCAGTTTACACAGCATGGAGAACTTCTGCATTCAGTACTCTCGTGGTCTTCATTTCCACACTGTGCGCAGGCTTTTTTTCCTCTGCATGATATTTGGGAGTGTCCAAACCGCTGACATTTAAAGCAACGTAGCGGATTTGGAATGTATGGGCGAACTGGGCAACAAAG